CGTAATGAAGAACATCTCGATATTTTGAGGAGGTAACTAAGCATAAATTCGTGTCGTAGAATGTACTTCTTCCTACTTTCTATAAAACACTTTCCGGGAAACAAAATAAATGATAATCTGAATGGTTTGAATATAATGTGGATTAGTGTATTATAATGTTCAGCGAAATCTACAATATTTATGGTTTCCATAATGAAGAATGTTTTGATATTTCGAGAAGATAGTTAAACATAAATTTGTAAATTTAAATATGTTGCGTTAAAAATGGTTATATTTTACGCAATTTTATGTAATAACGTTATATCTTATTCCTCTTATCATTGCAAATTAGTTATATAGAAAAAATAATATATTTGATAGTTTCGTCAATATGGCGATATAGTAATTCTACATAAATTTATATTTAAAAAAAAACAGTTTTATATGATTAAAATAATTTCACTATACGAAATTTGATGCGTATGTACTTTGGAATATTGGCACAGGACTATTTTCTATCTTTTCCTTTTTCTTTATTCCTAAAGAGTTCTATTATTACACGTGATCCAATCGTTAAGAATTTCAACTGTCGTAAGACTATAATTCATGCTGCGGTATCTTCTTGGACACTGCAGGATTACGTTAGCGTCATGACTTTGACAGCACCTAATCAGATATACCGTTAAAATATTCTCGACTTGACTACATTTTCGCGTTAATGTATAGGAAGTCAGTCGAAGTCAGTCGCGTCGTAAAAACAGTTTAGTTATCTAATACAAAACGTGCAACGCATAATTTTGCAATATGTTATAATACTTTAAATAAAATTATATTGGTTTCCAATTTTACTTTAATGTATCGTAAGGATTTAATTGGATTCGATATAATTGTGAGATCGTAAATGAATATTGTATTGATCATTAATTATTAGTATCATCATTTTCCAATGAATTTCGTGAAATGAATAGCCAAATCATTTTCTATTTTATGCCTGTTAATTTTATCATTGATACCAAATTTTATCAAATTTAGTTTTTTATCAAATTTATTTTTCAATAAAAACTTAAGGAGATTTGCCAATGAGAGTCTGCACCAGGTGTTCAATGTAATAATAATAATTTATGTAGGTATTCACAAAAATATAATATAATTACAAACATTTCGACATCAATATTGTGTCCTCTTTAAAGTGCAAAAAATATTCTTCCAGAAACATTGAATTCATTTACCTATATGTATTGTCAAAAGTCAGTACACAATTATTAATTATTAATTAGTTCTTTGTTAAAATCTCGTTTTTGATTTTTATTATAGTGACTTTCTTAGTAGTTTGAGTATCCGACGAGATACGACAGACGAAGATTACAGTCTTGACGAAAATTATAGTTTAACAATGTATTTTATACTTTTGATAACACATATCAAATGAATTCAATGTTTCTGGAGGATTATATTTTTTGCACTTTGAAGAAGACACAATGGATGCTTTCCATTTGATGACACAAGTCGACACAAGTGTCGTTCTATCCTTGTTGACATTTCAAGAGTGACAAAGATAGAACGATACTTATAGTCCGGGAAATGATGACACTAAAATGGTCATGATTTGTTACCGCTTGAAATCGTCATAATTCGTCATTTATTAGGTAAACATGCAGGAAACGCAAGTATGGCAAACCTCCCGCGGTTTTAAAATTGATAGCGTGTGATTGAAGTTGTCAAAAATTTGTTGCTTTTTTCCTAATATGTTACCGGCTGGCATATGTTTCTAGTGATAGTTTACGTCAAAAAAACCAATCGGAAGGTAGGTGCCATACCGTTTCTGTGAATCGAAGGGGTCGTCAAATCAAGCTAAAGTGGTAAATTTTTTAGTGAAAAAAAAAAAGATTTGTTACCGGCTGTTTTTTTGTACATTGCCTATTTTCACTACGAAACATACAAAAATACACATGCCATACCGTTTGAGTGGACCTAAGGGGTCGCTATGCTCGTCCTAACATGTCGAATTTTAAACTAAAACGTCATGATTTGTTACCGTATGGGTTTCGTTTTTTGGATAGTTTATGACTAATGTATTACAAAAAAAATTAGTGCCATATCAATCATACAGGTGAAAACCCTTGCTATATTCAATAAAAGACCATATAATGTTCATAAACAGGACTGGATCTTTTCAAATCGGCCAGCATAAAATTATACCATTTTGTGAGTTTTTGATTTTTAAGTGATAATTTCAACTTCAATATAAAATGCTCCGTATAATTATATAATAAAAATGGAGAAACTTAAACCTTGCTGTATACTTACATTTACAGTAGGATTAGCACTATCATGAATTCGCGCCTTAATAGATTTAAGTAACAAAATTCAAAATTAGCTTGCTTTAAAATATTCAAAGTAATTGATAAGCCATGTTTGGAGTAAAAATTGTAATTATGAAATAAATATTAATAGTGTACCGAAGTAAAAAACTTTTTTTATTATAAAAGTAGGAAACAAACCGTACGATCTATATAATTATAATTCAATGCATCTACTGTACATTTTGAGCAACAATTATTAAACAAAAATTCAAAGTTTATTGATCAACTATAATAATAAAAAATAAAGGCCCTAAATTTTTTTTAATCTAGATCTTTAGTACTGAATAATTATTGTGTGAATTTATATACTACATATGTAATTCTTAAACTGCGCGCCGAAATTACAATCAATTATAATCATTAAAAAGAATTGCCATTTTTCAATCATAGCGGCTCTTGGTACGTAATGATAACTTTTGTATGAATTGACTTACAAGAGAAACTGGAAAAAACAAGGGCACTCTAGGAGTCAGGCGCAGAAGACGTCGCACAAATAACATACGTAAAAACGTAAAACTTCTTTATTCTACTAAACGCGCTTACAAGTTTCGGCTCATTTTTGAGCCCTCCTCAGAGACAAAATTAAAAGTGAATCACTGTGTCCGATACTGACTGGCCAACATATCAAGAACCGGTTTTTGAACTATTCATAATAATGTTTGCGATATGATGCTTTGTGATCATGGTGAGCGTCCCTATTTTCGGGATATTTAATTATATATATATAATTTAAAAAATTTTCTGTTAAATTAGTTTTCCATATTCTCTTTTTTCTTATTTCCATATTTCCTTTCTTTTTCCTTTTTTACATTTTTCTTTTTCTTTCACGTTTTTTTCCTTCATTTCTGATATTTAAATCCTCGAGGTAGGGGTGCTTACCATGACGGGATAACGTCGTTTCATAGTTTTTATGTATGTTAGTTTGAATTGTCTCTGAGGAGGGTTCAAAAGTGAGCCGAACATGTAAGCGCGTTAGCTGTTTAGTTTGAACAGGACTAGGCAGGAGTGCAGGAGTGAGTGATACATTCATAAATAATAATTATATATTATACGTATATGTCTATACATGTCTGTACATCGTTTTTATTCTTTCGTACAATTATTGTTCAGTGCAATAAAAAAAATAATGATAATGATAAATAAAAAATAATTAGAAGGATAAATTTCGCGTTATTCGTTTTAGAAAAAATCAAATTTAGAGAATGTAAAAAAATTGCTTGTACATAATTATGTATAATCTTATATATAATTATATATAAGCAATTCTTATACATTTCTCCAAACTTGATTTTTTGTAACACAAATTGCAAAAATCTTGTAATTATTTTTTATGCTTACTCATTATTATTATTATTTTTATTATACTATATAATATTTCTATAAAAGAAAGAAGAATGTATGAACATATATATGGACATATTTCTTATATAATTATATATTTTTATGTAGTTATGTATGTTTATAAACCTTTAACATATGTTTATGCATATTTATACATAATCGTATTTATATATATTCTTGCATGAAAAATTTTTTACCGAATATATTATATATTTTAATTTTTTTATTACCGAATATATTATAATTTTTTTACGTTTATTTTTAGAAACATATCTAATAAAACAAGTGCCAGAAAGTAATACATAATTACTATGATCCTTAAAATCGTACAACTTTCAACCTTTGTATCAGCCCTCTCGCCCACTCAGGCAGTATGGTAATTATGTTTTCTTACATTTTATGATGTAAATAACATATATACAAAGTTTTAGTCGGTAACAAATCATGACGTTTTAGTTTAAAATTCGACATGTTAGGACGAGCATAGCGACCCCTTAGGTCCACTCAAACGGTATGGCATGTGTATTTTTGTATGTTTCGTAGTGAAAATAGGCAATGTACAAAAAAACAGCCGGTAACAAATCTTTTTTTTTTTCACTAAAAAATTTACCATTTTAGCTTGATTTGACGGCCCCTTCGATTCACAGAAACGGTATGGCACTTACTTTCCGATTGATTTTTTTGACGTAAACTATCACTAGAAACATATGCCAGCCGGTAACATATTAGGAAAAAAGCAACAAATTTTTGACAACTTCAATCACACGGTATCAATTTTAAAACCGCGGGAGGTTTGCCATGCTTGCGTTTCCTGCATGTTTACCTAATAAATGACGAATTATGACGATTTCAAGCGGTAACAGATCATGACCATTTTAGTGTCATCATCTCCCGAACTATTGTGTCGACTTGTGTCATCAAATGGAAAGCACCCGATATTGATGTCGAAATGTCTGTAATCATATTATATTTTTGTGAATATATAAATTATTATTATCACAGTGAATACCTGGTGCAGGCTCTCATTGGCAAATTTCCTTAAGTTTTTATTGTTAAATTTGGAGTCTTTTTATTGTACTTTATTTTTATAAATTTATTTTTAATTGCTATTAATAATATATTCAATTCATTTTGTTCCATGAGTAATGCGCATTATGGATAATAAAATGATAAATTATGTATATAGCAAGATATTCCGCGAATTAATATGAGTTTAAATAGTAAATCTTAATATGAGTTTAAATATATAAATCTGAAACATTTCATTTTGAATAAAAATAAATTAATAATTTTCGAAAATGAATTAATTATTTCCAGGAGCTACTATCCCCATGCTTGGCTGCGATTTTCTTGGAACCACTTTAAGTAAGTAACCGACAACATAAATTTAAATATAATTAAAATTTTCTTAGTTAAACTCTCTAAAGTTACAAAATTAATATAAACGTAGTTCTCAAAATTATGTAAAAAGTACACGTCTATAAAACTGTCTGTACTTGTGAAACTAAAATGCAGCTTTTGCTATAATACAGTAAACACTAACGACAAGTGACCACAAGTGTTATAACGTCTAAACAGACTGTGGAAGAAATAATTTTGATTTCTGGAACGTCTCCAGAATGCACTACAAACTAGACAAGATATCTTATTGTTAATATTCCATAACTCTCCTTGTCTCCCTATTTCATAATCATCTCCTATCCTCTGCATATAATGTTTTATAATTAATATATAGTATTATAGGGAAAGAGAGAAATATATGAGAGAATTAACTTATCGATTATAGATGTATTTAAGCTACTTATCTGTCCGTTAAAGCTCGTTCTCACTGAAGCCAATCGTATTGATCGGCATATAGGCTTTTTTCTTCTTTTATATTTAAAAAGAAAAAGAAAAAGCCAGACTAATAGACACGATCGGCTTCAGTAGGAACGAGTCTTTACACTTTAGGGTCTCAGCATAAAGATGGTCGTAACCGAGTCATAAAACGGAGTTGTAGTCGTAGGTCAACACACAATGTTTTGGTCAACCTACAACTATGACCTATGACTTACGTTTCACCACTCAGTTACGACCATCTTTGTGCTGAGACCCTTACTCGTCTTGCTTGTACGAGATTGCGAGGCAGATTGCCTCGCTTGCTTTCGCAGTTTATTCTCGATCTAGTAATGGTCACCTTTATAACATGAGAATTGTGTACATTCAAAGTATTATTGTCTACAATATATATAATAGTGTTTTATAGTATGTTAAGGCCACGATAAAACGTTGTAAGTAACAAAATTGTGAAAATGCATTTTATTTTATGAATGGATTTTAGTTCTGTGTTTGATCATATGAACATTTGTCGAAAGTGTTGCCATAAGCGAAGAAAATGGGCACTTAAAACATTGTAAGTCCATTATGTATTTGGCATTTTTCCTTGAACTTACAACGTTTCAAAATATTAACAACTTTAATACAATTTTTAAAAAATTATAATTACTTAATTACATTTTTTTGCAGAGATTGACTGCTTATATTTTTAGTTATTATAGTAATTTTGTATAAAGTTTTTAAAGTGATAGTTTAAAAAAAATATATAAGTTTTTTCTTTCTTCTAAAAAATTAAAAAATAGCACTTACAACTGTACTGTTTTACTGTAGTATGTCTCATAATTATAGTTTAGTTTATATTTCGACAATTTTAGCGTTTTTGGTATAAGCCCTTGTGGATTTTGACATTAGTTTTTTCGAGTCGTCAAAGTTATCAAAATCTTCGGGCCACCGCACAAACATTACCTTAACGCCTTATATCATCTTAATTATGTCATCCGTAAGACATAACATAAGCAACGCACAAAAAAGAACATAGCATAAGGAGTGGTAAGGAGCTTATGCCATGTTTTCTTTGTACGTTGCTTACGTAATGTCTTACGGATGACTATATATAACGCAAGGCTAGGCTCTGACGTAAAATGGTATAAAGCACTACGGTGCTATGGCAATGTTGGTGAGATGGCCCTTCCGTGTTTTGATTCGGACGAGAAGAGCGCGAGTGACTATCTGTGAAGTGTCGCTTACAGAACCATCCCTCGAGTATGGGCTCGAGCAGAAGATCCGGCTCTGGCGGGAGTCGAGCGAACGCTGGCGTTCTCAAGGAACGTGCCAACCTGTCGTTCATGCTGGTCGTCATGTTCTTTGCCGTGTTCGGTTTGATCGTCCTCACGGAAATATTTCTGATCGACGAAAGGCGCGGCGTAAGCATCGGAGGCACCGGCGTACTCGGGGGTCACAGAAGCGGTCATCGATTACCAGCTGCGCCTGATCGTCCAGATTACGGGGAAATAGGAGTAAGTATCCAGAGAGAAAATTCCTCGCTATCTCGACGATTCACATACTTTCGCACTGTCTGATTCTGCACGCGACTTCAATCGCTTTTTTTCTCTTCCTGATAAATTCATTTCGATTTTTGCATCTATGACATAATACAGATTCTATATTATTATCTGATAATTTTCCTCATCACTCCCCCAGACACACATATAAACGTTTTAAATTAAAATATAATAAGCAGAAGCAGGACTCTTAAATTACAAAATTCAAATAAACATCAAAAAGGACGTATAAGAGTCAACGTGTTAAAAAAATTTTTTTAGATGTCACATAATAAATATAAATAAGATTTAATGAGAATTGAAAAACATTATATGTTTCGGCTTTTTATTAAGCCTTCTTCAGATGTTACTTAACAAAATTTTCGCAGTTCTTTAAGATATTTGAGAAGGATGTTTCGTTCTCTTGGAAGGCACTCATCGAACTTTCAATGTTACCATGTACCTTCGTAAATTATGGATTAAACAATGGATATCTTAAAGAACTGCGAAAATTTTGTTACGTAACATCTGAAGAAGACTTAATAAAAAGCCGAAACATGTAATGTTTTTCAATTCTTATGAAATCTTATTTGTATTTATTATGTGACATCTAAAAAAATTTTTTTAACACGTTGACTCTTATACGTCCTTTTTGATGTTTATTTGAATAAACGTTTTAAACTATTCAATAGTATGAAATATTTCGTATTTTTTTTCTTATTAAAATTTGATATATTAAAATGATACGCGTTTGAGAAAAAATATTATTTTATATTGTACAATGCAGTATCACAATAGCGATCTCGTCATTCTTATTTATTTTTATATGTCTCTTATTTTGAGTATTACATTTATTTTTACGTTTATTTTTATGATATTTTTGTGGCACGAATTAAAGAGCTATAATTATTAAAGCTAATAATTTTGAATTTTTTCTATAATCTCCTTATTTTTATTAAAAATTCTTTTAATTTATTTATAATTATTTATTATCTCGGTAATCCTTGAAACA